ACACATTCAACATGTCGACAATAATCGCCGACGCCCACCTTGTTTGTCTTCAATTTCCTCTTTTTCTCCCCTTTTCTTTTGTTTTTACCTCTCATTCCTCTACGGTTTTTGTTTTTTTTTTTTTCTCATCTCTTTATCCTCTTCTATCTTTCTCTTCCTTTCTTCCTACCCTTCTTTCTCGTTTTTTTTTTTTTTTTTTAAATTTTCACAAAACGAAAACTCATTTGAATAAAAAAAAAAAAAAAAAAAAAAGGAGAAAAAAGGAAAGAAAAAAAAGGAGAAGAAGAAAACCAGAAGGTTTTTACCAAAAGCTTTTACTTGTCATAATCCGATTTTGTATCTTTTTTCTCTTTTTTTTTTTTCTTTTTTTCTTTTCCTTCTTCTTCTTCTTTTAGTTTTTTTCCCCCTTTTATTGTCGTTCTCCCACCTAAATTTACACGCAAAATCGTATATATATATATATATATATATATATATATATATATATATATATATTTATATAGTTTTTTCATGTGTTTTCCTATTTCTATCTCTCTATCTCTCTCTTTCTCTTTTTCTCACTGGAAAAAGGAATCCGACCTCGATTTCCCCCCCACCCCACCCCATCCTCTCTTTACCTTTATCCCCATTATTTATATATCAACGTTACTTATCGTGCGTTTGGATGTTTAAGAAACGAAAAAAAAAAAAAAAAAAAAAAAACATCCCGGAGGCTGTGAGTAAAAACTCAAAAGGATTTTCTTCTTGAGATAGAAAGAGAGAGAGAGAGGGAGAGAAAGAGAGAGAAACTTGTATATATTTTTCTTTTTTTTTCTTTTTTTTTTTACCTTAAAAAATTATTATTTAAAGAATTTCGTTTATTTATTATTTTTTTTTTTGCTTCTCTCTCTCTCTCTCTCTCTCTCGCTTTCTCTCTCCTTTGAATTAATTGTTTAAAAAGGTGGGAAGAAAGAAATAAAACGCGCGCGCGCGCGCAAAAAAAAAAGGTTTTTTATTTTCCTGTTGGCCTAAAGTTTTATTACTCGATGGTGGTGGTGGTGGTGGTGGTAAATCGTTATTTTCTCAACAGATTAATTTTTAGGCCTTTTTTATATATATATTTATAACGGAAAATATATTCTCTAAAGCATTATAAACTCGTGTCCCTTTTTCCCACCGCCTCGTTTCTCTCACCTTTCCCTCCCCTCTCACCTCCCACCTTCCCCTCCTCGCCTCTCATACCCTTATTACTATTTTTATTCATTCGTGTGGTGCTACCATTTTCCGTTGCACAAAAGTAATAAAAAGGTGCGATGGTGGTGGTGGTGGCGGTGGTGGTGGGAGCGTTTGTAATGAAAAATGCGAGCCGAAAGGGATAGGATAAGGAAGGGAGGGGAGGGGAAGAGAAGAGAATGGAAGGGGATGAGAAGAGAATGGAAGGGGATGAGAAAAAAACGGTCCCGGACGAGAAAAAAAAAAAAAAAATTAATTAAACATGATCCTCATTTACTAGGTTTTATGTCTTAAACCGGAACTCTCTCCCCCTTGCCTCCCCCTCCACGTCGTTTTCCCTCTTATAAAAGCGTAAGTCGATACGAATTGTCGTGACATTTATGACTCTATAAATTATTTAACGCGTATTAATATATAAATTTGTGCGTGTGCGTACACGCATGTAAATATTTTAGAGATTTTCGTTACGTTGGTCCGTTCGTCCATACGGGTAACTTTATTGTTTTAACATAATCCTTCATTCCCCCCCCCCCCGCTTTTTTTTTGGGCGAATTTACCATTTGTGTAATTAATTTATGTAAAAGGGGGTGTGAGAGGGTAATTATTCGTCGTTAATGGTTTCTAATAGCGATAACGCACTCACACACACGCACGCACGCACGCACGCACGCAAGGCCTTAAGTTCATAGTTTTCATTTTGCGTTTTTTCAGAACACATTATCAAATATGAAGCGCCTGTTGCTGCCGAGGAAAGAAATAAAATGCCGGAGGAAAAACTCAAGGATTTAAGTTACGACGGAGGGTACGAAGAAGATGGTTACGCGAAAAAAGGTCTCGGACAGTTGATAGATGGATTGTACGGAGAAGATGTTTTCGAATTTCAAGATGAAACGGATGCAGGTGAGTTGTAACAACAACAACAACAACAACAAATTTTACTTCCGGTCGCGTTTTTACTTATTTATTTTATTTTATTCGTATCTATTCTGTTCAGGTTTTATATTAATTAATTGATTATATAAATCCCGTGATACGATCGGTGGGAGGTGGGGAGGGAAGGGAGGGGGGACGACGACGACGTTTTCAATTTTTCGTCGAAAAGGATTTATTTATTTATATATATGTGTGTGTGCGTGTGCGTGATAAGAGTGCGTTTAAAAGATAACGGGGAGCGATGGTTGTGACGTGAAAACGAAGCAACAGGAAAAAATATGATTGAAAAGAATTAAAATCAGGTGAGGAAGGGGGAAGGGAGGGGAAAAAGGAAATGAATGATGACGATGATGATGATTGAGACGCACATCAGAAAACAATATGACGACGAATCGTACACCTGCGATTTTCCGTATTTTGTTTGTACACGCGCGCACGCACAAACGCACACCTCGTGCGAATGACATCTAAAAGCTTTTCCAATACTGGAAAATTCGGTGTAAAAGAGTGATAAGAAGTTTTTTTATTTTTTTATCTGTCAAAACGACAAAAAAAAAAAAAAAAAAGGTTTTCTATCTTTTTGTCGTAAAATGTCAGTCGAACCCGTTTTTATTTTTTTTTATTTTTTTTTTTTATTTTTCCTTCGTCGATTGAATTTTTTCCATTTCATTGATGCTTAATATCCTGTTGTCCGTTTAAATAAGGGTGGTGTGGGGGGGGGCGGAAAATTATTATTATTTTTTCCCTTTCAAAAAAGTTTTCGGGTTTATTGAACTGGCAGCAATACAAAAAAAAAAAAATTTTATTTTTATTTTTAGGTAGCCGATGGGTCGGTTGGTCAAACGAATCACTTTCTGGACGCCCTCTGGACATAACGTTCGAATTTGATTCCATCAGAGAATTTTCCTTTGCTCACATATACGTTAATAACATGTTCACCAAAAGTGTTCAGGTTCGTATTGATTTTTCTCCCTCCCTCTCCCCCCCCCAAAAAAATAGACGATTTTATGTAACCGAATGTTTCGTTTTTTTGTCGACAGGTATTTTCATCGGCGTTGGTTTATTTTAGTTTAGACGGGTCGAGATATCAACCGACACCCGTGAAAATAAATATGGCGTCGGATTTATCACGTGAATCCGCGAGAAACGTGAGCATACCGTTGGAAAATCGTATGGGAAAATTTATTAAATTTCAATTTTTTTTCTCCGCACGTTGGATTCTCATAAGTGAAATTTCTTTCGAATCTGGTAAGTTTTTTTATTTTTGTGACCCTCACAATTACGATTTTTTTTTTCTTTTTAATATACGGGGGAGGTGGGGGCAAAGAAAATGGGGGAAAATTTTTTATAACTGACAGAATGTCAGGTGGTGACTCGGCAAAAAATAAAAAAAATTTATATATATACACACATCTAAGTGAAAGCTCTTGAAAAAGGAAGGAGGGAGGGAAAAAAAAAAGTCAAAGATTAAAATGAAATTTTTTTGTTTTTTTCCTCCGAATCGAAGGGAAAATATTGGGTTTGCCCCCCATTTTAACTCCTCCCTCCCTTCCTTTTTTTTCTCGAGTGCCATATGGAAAAATTTATATTTATTAACAATCGTTAATCATAAAACGCAAAAGATCAAAGTCGGGAAAATGGGAAAAAAAAAAAATAATTTTTTTTTTTGTAGTGGTCATGTGATCGTCAAACTCGCCTCCTGAATGGTTGATCGTTTTCCCTCCTCCCCCTCCACTCTACGTGAAGTAAAAAAAAAAAAAAAATTTCCCATTATTTTTATATTTGCGTCGTCTTTTTCTCTCTCTCTTCCACATAGGAGGTTTCCACGTTTTTGTTTTCCCCTTTTAATATCACTATCTCTTTCCAACCACTTCGTATTTCTTTTCTTTGCTTCCCTCTCTCTCTCTCACTCCCCATCTTATTCTCTTTAATGTGTAAGAAAAGGGAAAAGTAGTATTATTATTGTTACGTTGAAAAGGTTAAAAGTAAAACATAATTTTCGGTTTAAAAAAAAAAATATCAAAGAAAATTGTTGTTTTATTACGTTTGTTGATAAGAACGAAAGTAAAAGGTCGAATCGAAAGTTTGATTAAAACAAAAAAAACGAAAACAATCCAGTCAGTGTTGCCAACCTTGAAAAAAAAAGAAAAAAAAGAGTAAACAAACCGATAAATACCAATAGGAAACACGTTTTTTTTTTTTTTTTTTTTTTTTTTTTTTGTTATTTTTAATTTCATCGTAGGCCATCTTTGATTTATCGTTCCGATAATAATAATAATAATAATAATAATAATAATAATAATAATAATAATAATAATAATAATAATAATAATAATTTCTTTTTCGTCCGTGTTTGGTTGTAGGGGTAAAACTTTATTAAATTTAAATTTTTTTTTTTTTACGCGTTTAAAAAGAAAACTTTTCTCCATTTGTTTTATTTATTTATTTATTTTTCGGGGGAGACGAAGGTAAATTCCATCAATATTGTAAAATAATCCTTTCGTCGTTTGTTTGTTTGTTTGTCTGTCTGTCTGACTGACTGTCTTAACTTTATCCCCCCCCCCTTTTTGTCTTATCTGAATAAATTTCTATTATTTATGTGATTTAAAGACTTTTAAAATAATATTTCTTCGTCGTTGTTGTATTAATTATTATTATTATTATTATTATTATTATTATTTTTAATTTTCTACGAATCCGGGTATGATTGATTGCCATGGATTTTACTAAAAATTCATTTCCGTCGGGTTTAGAGTCCGATTCTCATTTCATTTCCGTTTTGTAGTTTCCGGTTGAATTTTTTTTTTTTTTTTGTAGAATATATTAGGTGGAATTCGATAGTCGTGTGAGAGACGGTAGTAGCCATTTTTAAGATTATCTCTCTCTCTCTCTTTTTCTCTCTTTCTGTCCTTGTAAATTTACACGAAAAAACATCATCATCATCATTATTATTATTATTATTAGTGTTGTTGTTGTTTTTGTTTAATTATTTTGATTTATTTATTTATTTATTTATTCGCTTGAATCGTGAAAAGTTTGAAGTAAATATATTTATATATATTTTAAGTATCAATATTTAGAAAATTTAAAAAAAAAAAAAAGTTTTAAATAAATGTTTGTTTGTTTGTTTGTTTGTTTGATATATTTGAACGTTATCTTCTGCCACGATGTCACATAAATTTGAGAAAAAATTTATTTTGTTTAACTTTTTTTAAACTTTTTTTTTTATATAAAAATTTGTCCGATTTTTAACGATGATCAACAACACAACGATGGAATTTTCATTTTGTTTTTAATCTCTTTAATTTTTTCCTTTCCCCCCCCCTCTCTCTCTCTCTCTGTTTACAAAACGTACGCGTATGTATAATTTGTGCGATAATCTACGGCGGGGGGAAGAAGGGGAGAGGGGGAAAATGATTGAAAAATAATCCATAAGAAAATCGCTCGCTTTTTTTTTTTTTTTTATCATTATTATTTATATATTATTATCATTATTATTATTATTATTATTATTATTATTATTATTATTATTATTATTATTATTAGTATTTTTTCTTTTTTTTTTTAAATAGGAAACGGCTAAGCTTTTAAAATAAGAAATAATCCTCTTAAATGATTAACTTTTCCTGGAAAACTCCTACTAAAATTACCCTTTTAAAAGCTTCAAGCTTCCAAGTTTTTACCTCGCGGAGGGTAGGGGAGGGAGGGGGGAAAAATAACTCGATGAATATTATTATTATCATCATCATCATCATCATTATTATTATTATTGTTTGGAAAAATCAAGTGTTAAAGATTGGAAAACGGACAAAGTTGAAGTTGATGAGTCAATGATGGAATATTTCCCATCGAAAATGATTCGTTCGGTGTTTGCCGCATTCAGGGCGGGAGGGGAAGGAGGAGGAGTTGGTGGAGGGAAGGGGGAGGTGGGATGTGGGATGATAAGATTAAGGAAAAAGAAAACTTTAAGCAGGAATAAAAATTAACTAAAAGAAAAAAAAAAGGAAAAATCTTTGCACATTTGCTAATCCGGTTTTGAGTTTTTTTTTGTATTTTTTTTTTTTTTTACTGTGTCGTTCATTTAAAAGGAAAAAATTTTTCACTTTGCATTTTGTTTGATGTGACTGATTGATTGACTGATTGATTGATTGATTGATTGATTGACTGACTGACTGACGTGTTTATACAAACCATCTTCGCTATATTAATATCGATTGTCAAAAAAAATTCTTCTTCTTACGGTTGTAATTTTTCATTTTATACTCTTTATTTCTTCCCTCCCTGCTTACCCTCCTCCTCTCCCTCCCCTTCTCCCCATCACGTTTATTATTTCATTTTTTTAAAGCTTTTAAAAACCGCCATTTTAAAAAAGGGGGAGGAGGGGGAATTCTAAATTGTGAGAATGATTTAATTTAATCGAATGTAGTTTTTTTTTTTTTTTTTTTTTTTTTTTTTTCTTTCTCGAAACGTTTATTTTTAAATCTTACGTAGAATACGAACAAACACAAGCACTACGTTTAACTTACGGAGAGAGAGAGAGAGAGAGAGGTGGAGGAAAAAGGGGGAGGTGGAAGAGGGGAGGGAAATTTGTCGGAAAAAGTAAAATGGGAAAAAAAGTCGCAGGTGTGTTCTCTGACTTGCCATTATTTTATTCACAGTTTTAACCATTTATCTCTAACACCGAATAAGGGAAAGTGAATCACTCGGATCACTATTTTTTTTTTATAATATAAAGTCTTTATTATTTTTTTTTTTTAAATTTTGGCGCTAAATTTTAAACGAATTGAAATGATTCTTTTCTTTGGAGAGGGGGGGGAGGGTTTCACGCGAGAAAAAGGAAAAAAAGGAAAGAAAGAAAGGAATGAAACGTGACGTACGTTCGAATCTCAACACTTAAAATCAAATACGAGAAAATGATTGAAATTATTATTATTATTGTTATTGTTATTGTTATTGTTGAAAAAAAAGTCGGGTCTGAGATTTTTTTGCTGCCACGACGGACCGTCGGTCGTGGTAATTTATATTAACAGTATTATTATCTTTTTTTTGGTATTTTTTCTCGTAAATGTTTGCTGGAAAAGTTTTTTTTTTATTTCTTTTTTTTTTTGGAGGGTCGAAAATGTAAAAATTTTTCGAAACTGAGAAATTCGAAAACAAATCCCATCGAAATTTTCGAAATTTCAGGAATTCGCGTTCCTCGAATTTCCTCTTTGCCTCCACTTCCCCTTCCCTTCCCACTTTTCTACCTCATCCCGCTTCATTTTTGTTCCACGGCCCGCCGTATCCTATTGCCTCCCTCCTCCCTCATTCCTCTTCAGCTACGGATACAGAAGCTTTAGTTCCAGCATCCCATCCGGCTTCATTCCTTTTCTATTCGTTTCTCTCTCTCTCTCTCTCTCACCGATTCATAGGTTTAAAAACCTTTTCGATTGATTCTTCTTTCTTTCTTTTTTTAAGGAGGGGAGGAGGTGAAAGTTTTTCGGTATGACCCGTTTGACCTTTTCATCGTAAATTCGGAACCGGAAGTATTTTCTTGCATTTTATGAAAATGCTTCATTTTAATTAATTATTAAGGCCGAAAGGCGATTATTACGAAAAGCGGAAAAACTTTTTCCCCGGAAAAGTATAAAATTCTTCTAATGAGAAGAATAATTTCCCATTAATTTTTTCTCCACGCCCCTCCCCCTCCTTCCCTCCTCTCCTTCCCCATATTATTTCCCCGTCGCCACCCCCGTTCCACCCATCCCTCATCTCACTTTTACTCCTCGTGTTTACTCTCTCTCTCTCTCTCTCTCTCTCTCTCTCTCTCTCTCTCTCCTCCAGTTGCGAAATAATTTTATAATTTATTATCATCGTAAATATTCATAACGGCCAAAAAAAAAAAAAAAGGAGGTGGAGGAAGAGAGAATGTGAAAGATAAAGAGACTGAGAGAGAGAGAGAGAGATAGAAAAGGGAATCACAATCAACAATAACAAAACAAAACATGGCGAACAAAAGGTAAAAGTTAAAGAACGGAAACGGAAAGTTCGATCGGAAAACCGTTAGGGAAAACTATCTCTTGACAAAGTCTATATACGAACCGAACACAAACCAATACCTGATTCCATTGGTTTTCTTTCCTCTTCTCATATTTCACAATCTGTTCGTTTTTCCGGATTCTTCCCCCCCCCTCTCTCTCTCTCTCTCCTCGTAACACGATGATTTAATAAACAATATGGCGAAAGTTTTTCTTTTTTTTTTTTTTTTTAGTTTCGAAACTCGAGTTTTTCTAAATTGAAAAACATTTTAACCGTTCTCCCCCTCTTTCCCCTCCCGTATTCTTTACGGCAAAAGTTAATTTTTTTTTTTTTTTTCGAGCATCCAAAAAATAATGATAATTATAATGATAATGATAATAATACAAAAAAGAGAAAAATCTTTACGGAATTTCAAAATCGGTTACGGCCTCGGTTTTCTTTTTTATTTTACTCTTCGACTCATGCGAGAGGAAGGAAAAAAAAAGGGAAAAAAGGAAAAAAGGTTTTTTTGGGAAGGGGAGGGGGAGGGGAAGGGTAAAAAAAAGTTTTTTTTTTTTTTTGCCGATCAAAAGAAAAGAGCTTTTACCAATATTAGAGAGTTGTGTCGGTCGTCTCCATTTTGGATATTTGATTCTGGAAATTTTTCTTTTTTAACTCTCTCTATCTCTCTCTCTACCTCTCTCTCTCTCTCTTTATAAGTGAAATTTAGAATACGGAAACGTTTCGATTCGCCCGAGCGAGCGATGCCTTGGAAAAAAAAAAAAAAAAAAAAAAAAAAAACATTATATTTTACGTTATTTCTTTTTTACTTTTTCATTCGAATCCTCGATACGCTCCTGTCTCTCTCTCTCTCTCTCACTCTTTTTCTCTCTCTTTGAAATATTAATTAAATAAAAATATAAATGACAGCATGTATTAAATAAATAAATAAAAATATCAATTAATAAATTGAAAAAAAAAACGATAGGATACGTTTTCAATATGCTTTATTATTATTATTATTATTATTATTATTATTTATTCAAAGGCGATTAATAATTTAATGTACGTTTTCGACAGTGCGTTTTTAAATTGGATAAAAAAAAAAAGGAATTCTTCTGCCACGCGTTTTAATTATTTAATTGCCGATTTAATTAAAAAAACCCGATGCGTCGTCGTCCGTTTTACGAATACCCAAAATAATTTATTTGTTTTTCATTTTCACTATCATCATCATCATCATCATCATCATCATCATTATTATTATTATCATTATTATTATCATTATTATCAATTTTAATTTAAACCTACGTTATTTTCCGATATGGAAATGAAAATCAATATACGGAAAATATGTTTCGGTTTATTTATATATATATATAATTTTGAATGTTTAAATACTGAAATTTAATAATAATAATAATAATATAAATAAATAATGCATGGAAAATACAAAAGGGGGAGGAAGAGGAGGAGGATGGGGATGAGGATGAGGGAAGGGAAAAACCCGTACGTACGTACGTACGAATCGGGAAACCATTTATTTTAGATGAAAATGTGTTGGGAGAAATCGGAGGAGAGAGAGAGAGAGAAGGGGGAGAGGAGGAAGAAGAGACGAGAGGACGTGAAGGGGGGGGGGAAGAAGGAAAAGCTAAAAAAAAAAAATTTTTTTGCATAAATTTGCTAAAAAATTCAAACGATAGCATTTTGAATATTTTTTATTTATATTCATTCGAACGATCTTTTTTTTTTACGTCACCTCGAAAGTAACGGAAAATTTTTGACACGTATTCGCTGTACCGCCGCCATGTTCGTTTTCAAATTTATAACACTCGAATAATTTAAAAAAAAACTCGCGGGGAGACTCTATACCGATGTTGATGATGATGATGCAAATAAAATATATAAAAGGGTTTAAAAAAAAAAAAATAGAACGAGGAGTATAATGAGGTAAATGAGAAAGGAGAAGGTAGTGGGAGTCAGAGTGAGAGTGAGAGAGAGAGAGAGAGATAAAGAGAATGATACGTAAAAAGAGAAAGATGAAAAAGGTGGTGGTGGTGGTAGAAAGGAGGAGATGAATGAATGAGGGAAATTTTTTTTTTTTTTGCCCTTTATTCATTAGCTTGATTATTTTGTAGGTGAGCTGGAATTTTGTTTAAAAAAAAAAAAAAAAATAAACTCTCGCCCCCGCCCCCACACTTCCCCGTTCCGGATCGCCGTCCTTTCCCGCCGCCACCATTTTCCCTTTTTTCTCTTTCCTACCTTTGTCCGCTCCCCACTCCCTACCTCCTTCCTTTTTTATTTTGCTTAATCCGTTCATTTTATAAAAAGGTTCATATAATACGTAAAATTTATTATTGCAATTTTTTTTTCCTTTTTTCCTTTTCTTGTTTTCTTCGCTCTCTCTCTCTCTCTCTCTCTTCAGGTGAAATAAATGCTGACTACGGTATATTATAAAATAAAAGTATATATATACGTTTATATTTTTATTATTTTTTTGGGTGAAAAGCGACAGGTGCTCTGCTACAGGTAGAAATAGAGAGAGAGAGAGAGAGAGAAAATTTCGAAAATGGAAAAATAAGTAATTTTCTTTTTTTTTTTTCCTTTTTCAAGGTTCGATTCAGGGTAATGCAACTGAAGAAAGTCTCGAACAATATTTTCTACAACAAGACAGCATAATGGAAACCGTTTCGCAAACTCCCGGCGGAGAAACAACAAACGCAAGAAAAGAAATAACGCCCGGTAAGAGAGTGAGAGAGAGGAGAAGAATTAGAGGTTCCGCCATTTTGAGAAAATTTTTAAATTTGTTTTTTTTTTTTTCCCCGTAGCGAAAAGTCCGACGACGAACACTCAAGCATACATTGGATTGATAACGGGTGTGTTGGCCGTCATAGTAATGCTACTCGTTTGCACGATACTCGTCATGGTGAGAAGAGGAAGGAAAAAAGTTGCTTTGCTACACAAGCACACGGCTCTAGTGTCGAGCAGCACGAAACCCGGCGTCACGATAAACATGAAAGATTTAAAAATGAACATGGCGATATCGGGACCGATAATGAATAACGGATTAACGCGATCGAGACTCACGTCGTCGAAAACGACGAGGGGACATTGTAAAAAAACGAACGTGGAAAAGGGTAAAAGTGATTCGGCCGGAAATTACGTCACGGGAGAAGAATCCGACAGTGAAAATTCATCCGTTTATCACGAGCCTTATAAATTGTTACCATCATCTGGAAAACAGGAATATGGTTGTCTTATTAAACGCGATGCCTTGTCATCTAGTAAAAGTGGAGAATATACAGGTACGTACACGTAAATGATAAATTCTGGAATGGGATTTTTTCGATTTTCCCCACGCCCACCCCCTTCTCCCTCTCTAATCTCTCTTTGAAATATCGATCGATATTATTTAAATTTTTCTTTTTTTTTTTTTTTTTTTCTATAAGAACGATAGAAAATGAAAAATGAAATAAAAAATTTGGGAGGAGGGGGGGGGGAGAAAACCCGAAACAAAGTTTCCAAAAAATTTCTGGAGGGTAAAAAAAAAAAAAAAAGGGAAAAAGGAAAAAAAATACAAATAACCTAAAAATTCGTCGAAAAGACGAAAGAGAGAGAGAGAAGGAAGCAGGTGAAGGAAAAATTTAATTTTTTAAAGGAGAGAGAGAAGGAGGAGTGGGGGGGTAGGAGGGTGATAAATGTGAAAAAATAAAGGATTCGAATAGTTTGAAAAAAAAAAGAACGGGGGGGAGGACGGGGAGAAGAAACGTGGAAGAAGAAGAAAAAGGTTATTCAAATTTTGTCAACTTAAAACTTTCCCTCCTAAAAAAAAAAAGAAGCCTCAAGAGTAGGGAAAAGTTTTTTTTCGCGGATCGGGTGAGAGGTGGCGGTGGTAGGGGGAGGAGAGAAAGTTGAAACCACGTGACCGTTTTCATTTCAATTTCCATATTTTCATCTGTGAAAAAGTAAAAAAAAAAAAAAAAAAAAAAAAACATTACCGCCAACTTTTGAAAGTGAAAAATTACGGGTTAAAAAAAAAGAAAAACTTTTTCCCTTATGCGACGTTGTCATTGTCGGTTGTCGTCGTCGTCGTTGTCGTCGTTGTCGCAGGCTGGCAAAAGTTGAAAAAAAAAAAAAAACCAAGTCGTTTCCTTTTTTTTTTTTAACCTTTTTCTCTTTCCTTTTTACTTTCTTCCCTTGTGTGTACTTGTTACGAGGACGAGAACGACAAGAAAAAATTTTTTTTTTTTTGGGTTCAAAAGCAATTTATTTACTTTTCGCCATCAATTCAATTCGGGAAAACTTGTTTTTTTTTGGGGGGGGGAGGGGGGTCCATCCGTTCGTCCGCCTTAAAAAAAACTTTTTCTTTTTTTTTAAAATTTAATTTTTTTTTTTTTTTTTTTTTTTTTTATAGAAAAAAATCTAAAAAGAAAAAACAAAAAATTACATTTTAAATTTTGTAAAAATGTCAATTCCCTCTTCCTCCTCCTCCATCTTTACTCATTTTTATTACGTCATATGAATGACGTACAGTGAGAGTTGGGGGGGGGAGGGAAATGAAACAAAAGTATACAAGTTTTTTTTATTAAATTTTTTCTTTTTTTTTTTTTTTGTTTAAACAAACAAATCGAGGTATTTCTATTTTTTATTCGAAATTGAAAATTCTACAGGAAAAATCACTTCAAACTTATTTTTTTATTAAAAAAAAAAAAAAATTATATCTGGAAAAAAATAAAATAAATGTTGTCTCCCCCTTTTCCCGAACAAATATGGCGGACGGACGGACGAACGAGGACGAATAACGAAATAAACAAACGAAAAAATTTTTCAATTCGATCTTGTGTTTGCACGTGCACGTGTTTTAATTTAAATTTTTCCGTTTCCGGTTTAAAAAGTCTAAAAAATTTTTAAATATGACGTCATTAATATATAAATAATATTAATAATAATGGCGACGACGGTTTATACGATCGAATTTATAAATGTATTATTATTATTTTTTACGCCTTCTTTCTCTCTTCCCCTTTTGGAAACTGTCAAAAAGAATTTTACGTCATTTCCTATTTGACTTTTATTTCCGTTTTTATTCTTTTCCGTCCCAAAAAAGGAAAAAAGGAAAAAAAAAAAAGGAAAAAGGGAAATGTATATCTATATATTTTGAAAATGATGAAATTCTTCATCACGTGTCCGGAACAGGTGTTTACCATAATTTCATTTAAAACGTTTTGTTTTTTATATCTATGACGTCGTTTGTTTTCTCTATGCTTTTGACCCCGCATACGACGATGACGACGACGACCCGTCGTCCACTCGTCGTATGAATAATTTTCTTTTTTTTTTTTTGCATAAAAAAATCATTTTCCTTGCTGCTGCTATTGCTACTACTTCAACGCGGTCGTTGTTGTTGTTGTTCTAGTGCCACTTTTTCTTTTCTTTCCCCCCTCCCTCCTCTTCCGTTTCTCATTCGGTGTTAAACGAAATTTATATATATATAATAAATATTTTTAACGGATTATATTTCCAAGAAAGAAAGAAAGAAAAGAATTTTCTAGAACGATAATTATATTTATTATAATCGAAATATTATTTTCTAAGTAATAATGGATCCTATCTCTCTCTCTCTCTCTCTCTCGTTTTTCTTTTAGTAAAAAAAGAAAAACCTAATTCAGTGAAATTAACTTAATTACTTCTTCCTAATTAAACAAAAGCGGTTTTTACCTTACCTCTCTATCTCTATTTTTCTCTCTTTCTCTTTTACCTCTTCATCGTATTTCCCTTTTCTCTCTCTCTCTCTCTCTCTCTCTTTCTTTGTTTTGAATTTTTTTTTTTTTTGTGGAAAATTTTCCGCCATTTTGTTTCTTTTTTTTGCCCTCTCGTTATTGTTGTTGTTGTTATTGTTATTGTTTTTTTTTTTTTTTGGAATATTTTTTTTTATTACCTTTCTCTCTCTCTCTCTCTCTCTCTCTCTCCCTCGTTGTTGTCGTTGTCGTTGTTGATCCTACGACGAATAATATAAAAGTAATTTAAAATTAAAATCCTTATCTTTATTAATAATAATTTTATTTTTTATTATTATTATTATTATTATTATTATTATTGAGTCTGGTAAATAAAATATTACGAATAAAAAAGATTTTTTTTAATCGTGGAAGGAGATTGAATAAGAAAAATTTAAATGAAATTATTATTATTATTATTTTTTTTTATTAATCATTTGTGTATTCGTCCTCGTCGCCGTCGTCGTCGTGAGTTTTTATTATTATTATTATTATTATTATTAATTTTTTTTTTTTTTTGTTTAATAACGTTTACAGATTTTACAAGTGTCAATAGCTTTCAAGACGAGATAAAATTTAGTCCGTCTTTTTTTAATTTGGCGACAAATTCGCTCATACGACCGCCGCCCTACGACGTGGGAAATTATCAAACTCCGACGAAAAATAATCATCAATCATTTTCGGAAAATTATTATGCTGCCACGGATATCGTCAAGGTTCGTAGCATCATTTATTTATTTTCTTTTTTTAATTTTTTTTTTTTTTTTTTTGTCGTGGCATTAGCGGCATATAAATTTTCAAGGTTTTTTTTGTTGTTGTTGTTTGTTAAATGATCAAAACGTGTTCTCCAAAGTTTTGTTTTTTTTTTTTTTTTTGTAATTTTTATTTTGCGGGTTGTGTGAAACGTTTGAAATTGTTAACCTGTTTGTTTGTTTCTCTGTTCTTTTTTTTTTACCCCCCCCCTCTTCCCTCTTTCTCTTTTTTGTTGTATCTACCCTGCCCCAGACTCCACCTCCCTCCCCCGGGGAAAAGTGAGAAGGAAGATGGGAGTGGGAAAAAATTATCGTTAAAACCTGTCAACTGAAATTTATCATTTTATTTTTATTTTTATTTTTTTTCTTTTTCTACGTTAAAAAGTCAAAGAGAGGAAAGAAAAAAAAAAAAAAAATTTTTTTTTTTTTTTTTTTTGTTTGTCCGCTTGTTTGTTTCATCATCATCATCATCATCATCTGTTTGTTTTTGTTTGTTTATTTTATTCGACGTCAAAAATAATTTTTTTTTTTTATTTTACTTTTTTTTAACGTAATTAATTAAATGTTATATTCAAAAAGGGAAAAAAAAGGAAAGAGAGAGAGAGAGGGGGGAGGAGGACGACGGGAGGAAAAGGAGGGGAAAGGAGGAGGAGGAGGGCGGGAGGAAGGGGGAAAAGGGAGAAGGAGGGAATTTTTACTTTTTTTAATGACCGAATTTTAATTAAATGATTTTTTTTTACGTTAACGTAGAAAATTTTTTATTTTTGTTTTCCGACGTGGTACCAGATTAATTTTTTTTTTTTTAAAAAAAGAGATCGCGGGGGAGTTACGTGAGTGGGAGAGGGAGAGGGGGAGAAGAAAATAAGTTAATGATAATAAAATAATAAAATAAAAATGAAAACGAAAAAAAAAAAAAAAAATTTTCTTTTTCGAGGGGGTAAACATCATTACGGTTTATACGCGACGATCGTGGCACTAGTAGTAGTAGTAGTAGCAGCAGCGGGAGGAAGGGAAGTAGTAGCAAAACGGGGAGGGGGAATTCTAAAAGAGAAAATCGATTTTGAAAACTAAAAGGAAAACATTAATCATTATCATTATCGTCACTTCGGTTATTGAATAATAATAATAATAAACGGTAAGAGGGAAAAAAGAAGAGTAAAAAAGAAAAAGTTAAAATGGCGGCAAAATGAGAAATTCATTTCGCGAATAAGTAAAAACGTTAAAAAAATGATTCCGACGGTAGAGAAAAATGGGGGGGGGAGGAGAAGGAAAAGGAAGTTAATTATAAATAAAACTAATCAAACCGGAAATTTAAATTTAAAAAAAAAAAAAAAAAACAGCAACAACCGGATGTTCGTTTTTTTTTCTTTTTCCCAAACCGACGACGTCTGATTAGAAAATCGTTACGATAATAATAATGATGAGGATGATGATGATGATGATGATGGAAACCCGATACGAAAATCGATCGTTGAAAATAAATAAATTACTTTTAATAATAATAATAATAGTAGTAATGATAATAATAATAATGATAATGATAGAGATTTCTTTTTTTTTTATTACTAAAAGCCACGTCGTTAAACATTTTTGAATTCTAATGACACTGTATAATATAAATGTAATTTACAATTATATTCTTTCTCTTCCTTTTCTTTCTTTCTTTCTTTTTTCTCTTTCTCTCTTTTTTTTTTCTCTTTTTTTTTTTCTTTTTGTTTCATTATATACTCCTTCCTCTTTTTTTCTTTCTCCCTCTCCCTCTCTCTCTCGCTCGCTCTCTTTTTCTGTCTTTTACATTTTCATCCGACATTAACACCGTTTGTTGCGTACCTTGTATCTCTCGTTTATGTAAATTTATTCATTGTCTGTAACTGTTTTGTAATTAAAAATTAAAACAATGGCGTCGTTCGTTTTATTTTTATTTTTGAAAACGTTTAACGTTTTTTTTTTTTTTTTTTTTTTGTTCTCGTGTAAATTCGGTTGTTTGTACGACGTCGGAAAAGTCTCTCTCTCTCTTTCTCTTTCCCCCCTTTCTGTCTCTTTCTCTCTTTCTCTTTCCCCCCTTTCTGTCTCTTTCTCTCTTTCCCCTTTCTTCTGTCCCTCTCTCTATTTTTTTGTTTCTACCTGCTTTTCTGTAAGTCTTTATTTCTCTCTCTTTCTCTCTCTATCTCTCCTTCTCTCCCTTCCTCTCTCTCTCTCTCCCATTCCTTTGCACGTTCGCGCATACGGGTAGAATACTCGATTTCGAACGAAACAAAAAATTTTTATTTTTTATATGTCATACGTACATGTAGAATTCGCCATTTGTCGTTTCACTTTTTTTTTTTTCCTTTTTTTTCCTTTTTCTTTTTTAGTTCAAAGGAAAAAAAGATGAAAGAGGGAGGTGTAAAAAGGAAAGTCAAAAATTTCCATTTTAATATCGTTTTTCTTTTTTCCCTATTTTTTCCGTTTTTTGTGCAAACGTTGTTTGTTGTTGTAGGGTTCATTCAATTTTTTTTAATATGGTTTTCAGGTACTCATAAATTTTTAAAAAATTTGATTAATGTAAAAACTTTTTTCTTTTTTTTTTTTTTTTTTTTTTTTTTTTTAAAGTTGCCGTCTTGGAGTTTTTTTTCTTTCTTTTTCTCCCCTTCTCTTCTCTCTCTCTCTTTTACTTTTCGTTATTTAAAAAACTTTTTTTCTTTTTTTATTTTTTCTCCTTCATTTTCGATGAATGAACGTGGAAGGAAGGAAGAAAGAAAGAAATAATTTGATTAAAAATTGCATTTTAAATTAATTTATATTTATATATATTCGTGGCAGAAGAATTTTTTTTTTTTTTTTTACAAGATTTTTTTTTTAATTACACTTTTATTTATTTATTTCGATTTTTAATAATAATGATAATAATAATAATAAGAGTAATTGTATTTTTTTTTTGTTTCAGACGGAAACAAGACGTGAGCAGAATTTCACTTTGGGTAAATTGACTCCGATAAAAATTCCAGAAGGTTCCGCCCCGGAGGATTCAGAAATTCCCGAATTTCCCAGACACAGACTAAGAGTCGTCGAAAAACTTGGAGAAGGAGGCTTTGGAATGGTGAGTGGTGACTTTCTTTTTCTCTCTCACAGTCTCCCCCCCCCCTCTGGCTCCTCGATTGCTTTTTTTTTTTTTTTTTTGTGACAAAAAATATAATTCGAAATCTTTTTATTAACTGGCCCGGGAACCCCCACCCACTTAAACTCCCGGGCATTTCGCAATAGGGGGGCCACTCTGCATGAAGAGGGGGGGGGGACGCTCGGGAGAGTAAACCGAATCTCTTTCATCCGCCGCATCGAAGAAGAGGACGCATCTTCCAGAAGTGAAGTGAAGTGAAGTGAAGTGAAGTGTTAGTTGATAGAATACTCTAGAGGATTAGTGAGGAAGGACAGCACAAGGATCTACGGGGGTCGCCGAACACGTTCGTCGCGGAAATTACACCGGATACGCTCCAGGACCCGTGGATTCCTCCGTCGTCTACGGCTCCAAGATCCGCAAGTTTCCAGATGAAGGAGATCCGAAGAGGTTCGCCTGTGATCCTCCCACGCCGCAGTCTTGGATGCACTTGGATGAAGAACTGAAGACAAACACCTGAAAAGAGATGAAGAATCCCCGCTCCTCGGCGATCCCCAGATAGAATGTACCCCCGCGACTCCCGATCATCGAAGAAGAACGCACTACTACCAACCTGTGGACCTCCCCCGCGTAATCGAGTAGAAGACCCCGGAGCCCGACTCGGAATACTCAACCCCCCAGTGGACCCTTTCCTTCCTTGTACCTCGAGAGACGATCGCGATCTGCCACACCGCTCGCGCTTCCCCCTAGAGAACTTAGGAGCTTCCGAAGAGGAATTCCGACGGCCCAGTCGCCCCCCCGTGGTCCGTTCGCGTCGCGGCCCAGTCGCCCCCCCGTGGTCCGTTCGCGTCGCGGCCCAATCGCCCCCCCGTGGTCCGTTCGCGTCGCGGCCCAATCGCCCCCCCGGTCCGTTCGCGTCGCGGCCCAATCGCCCCCGCGGTCCGTTCGCGTCGCGGCCCAATCGCCCCCCGTGGTCCGTTCGCGTCGCGGCCCCCCCGCCCCCCTAAAACCGATGAGTAATGTTCAAGTTGAATACTTACCCCGGAAAAGCTGTCCGAATCCTCCGTCTTCTCTTCCGACGTCCGCTGCCGTCTTCTTCATCTTCTTATTCCCCGAATGTCTCTGTCTTGCGACTCGTTGGCGAGGATTGTGAGCTTCCAGTGAAGAGTCGACCCGGAGGGTGTTCACGATGTCCCCGAAGTCCTCCCCCGTCGTAATCCCCCGTTGAGCCGGTGAAACTAGCCATTCAGTCTTCCCCCCTGAAAGCAAAAAAAATGTTGAGTCTCGTGTTGGTAACCCCCGGTTCGGTAAAGTACAGGATTTTTTTCTTCGAGTGCGGCCTAAGGAAACCGAAAAACCGACCTGTCGAAAAAAGAACACGAGAGAAAAATGTCGCCAAAAGGTTAACTCTGTAAAACTATTGTTCCCACATCTATATAAAATAAAAAACATTTTCGAGTAAAAGTTTTTTCTTTTCTTTTTTTTTTTCTTTTTTTTTTTTTAAATTAAAAAAGGGGGGAAAAAAACGGGGAAATAGAAAATTAAAAATAAACTTTAAAAAAAAAAAAAAAAAAAAAGGTTTTTTTAGAAAAAAAAAAAAAAAAGAAATTTTAACTTTTTTTAAAAAAAAAAAAAACCGCCCCGAGAGATTTTTCGGTTTTTCTTTTCCTTTCTTTCTTTCTTTTTTTTTTTCTTTTATTTTCTTCTCCCTTTTCCCCGCTTACTTACGTCTTCCCCCCCCCCCAATTTTAACTTTTTACTCCCCGAAAATTGAACTTTGTCAGCAATACTCGATATCTTATTCATATTTTTTATAAATTTTTTACAATTTTTTTTTTTTTTTTCTTTCGTGCCACGCAAAAAACTTTTCCTATTTACCCTCCCCTCCGCCCCCTCTACGCCCTCGCATATCCCATAAGTAAAACTCGTTCTCATTTAATTTAACCGAAAGTAAGCAAGTTTAATTAATTATTAATTAACTTTATCTAATGACACGTGTTTTTGTTACGACGTTTTCGTCGACGGGGAGAAAGAAAGAAAGAAAGAAAAAAAAAAAACGAAAAAAATTGAAAATAACGAATTCAAATGATGTCGTCGCGTTCGATAACGATTTGCATTCGATTTCCCTCCCCTTCCCTCTTCCCTTCCCTCTCCTCTCTCAGACGTTTTCATTCTGTTAATTAGTGTTATTGAGTTGAAAAGGCAAAAAGGGGAGAAAGAAGAAAAAGAGGAGCGACAATCGAAACGAAAAGATACGAAGAGAATAAGAGAGAAAGAGAAAGAGAGAAGAAGGTTCAAATTACGCAAGTTTTAATTTCCTTTAAACAGTAAATAATAAGTAACTCGATAATAATAATAATACTAATGATGATGTTGATGATGATGATGACGACGTTTAATGACGTCATAAAAAGAAAAAAAACAACTGGAAAATCAAATCTTTTGGAAAATCTTGAGAACTCAATCAAAAAAAATAAAAAAGTCAAAACTATCGAGTGAAAAATGTGTAAAAAAAAAAAAAAACCAAGAAAAAAATAAGAAAGAAAAAAAATTTTTTTTTTGTTAAATTCCTAACAACAGACTTAAAAAGAATTAAATGATGTAAATGAGAGAGAAACAAAGAGAAAGAGAAAGAGAAAGAGAAAGAGAGAGAGAGAGAGAGAGGGAATTACAATCGAAACAAACGGATTGAAATTATTCCGGTTGGAAAAATCTCACGAAACCGACTCGCGACAAAAAAAAATTTGAAAAAAAAAAAACGAAAAAGAAAAACCCACACCTGATGGCAAATGACGTGGCAGCAGGAGCAGCAGAATGTATACGCTGCATACATTTCGGAAAGAAAAAAAGGACAAAGGAATGAAAAAAAAGGAAAATGTACGGGAGGATAAAAGGACATCGTTCGTTCGTAGTCACGTACAGGATATCACGCGTCAAAGGAAGACGAAAATTTTTTTCGTAATTAACAAATTAATTATGACCGCTGTTGAAATTTTCTCGCGCGACTTTTCCCCGGAAGGGGGTGGGTGGGGTCCCCCCCGTGCCTATAAATTAATTTTCGGACATCGCGATGACCTCTTCTAACGTTCATCTGTTTACACGACAAAAATCTTAAAATCTTCTTTACTTTAAATCCTTGGCGACACGTCGGATTTTTTTTTTAAGTTTTTCTGCTCACACGTTAATATCGTCGTTGTCGTAGTCGTCTTCTGCTTATAAGCAGAAAAAACATTTCCTTCCGCTTGTCGTGACGTTTTAATGACATTCGTCCGTGTTTATATTGTGTTACAGGTTCATTTATGCGAAGCAGAAGGAATTTTCGACGTCAACAATTTAACAACAACGTCACATAAAAAACAATTCGTCTTGATAAAATCATTATGGAGAGGATCGAGCGAAAGCACAAAGTAATTTTTTTCTTTTAGTTTTCTCTCCTTTTCTTCTTCGCCCCCGCCCCCCATCTCCCCCCTCTTCCCTTTCCATGAGCCTTGTCGCACGTTCTCCTCCTTCCGTTCTTAGATTATTTTTTTCTTTTCCAGGAAAGACTTTTTACGAGAATGCAATTGGTTGGCGAGTTTAAAAGACGTCAATTTGTGTCGCATCGTCGGGATTTGCAGTCTGGAAGAACCTTTTTACGTCATTCAGGAATACACGGATCTTGGAGATTTGACGCAATTTTTGAGACTGGAAAATTCAACCGAGGAAAACGGAAACGATGACGCAGTGAGGTGAGTTAATTTTCCGGTCGTTTCGTGTGGTATCGCCGCCGCCTCCCTGCCCTGCCCCCCCCCCTCCCGCTTTCTCTTTCCCGACTCTTCCTTTTCCTTTTGAAATTTCAAGTTTTGTCTTTTCCAAAACATCGCATCTTTCGTCTTTATCTTCTGCTTCTATTTAAAAGTTTTGTTTTTGTTGTTTGTATACGTTTCAGTTACGGTTGTTTGATATACATGGCCACTCAAATAGCGTCGGGTATGAAATATTTAGAATCGCTCGAATTGACGCATAGAGACTTGTCGGCGAGGTAACGTACATTACTTTTTTTTTTTTGTTTCCTTTGATGCATGTCATGTCCTAAAGGTACGCGATGGCGACGATGGCAACACCTCATCCACTTCTTGTCTTGTCTTTTTAGAAATTGTCTCGTCGGTAAACATTATTCGATAAAAATATCAGATCACGCCATTTACGCGAGCAAATACAACAACGATTATTATCAAGTCGACACGAAAGCGAGGCTACCCGTGAGGTGGATGGCTTGGGAATGTCTACTCCTGGTGAGTATTTTTTTAATAAAACGTTGAGAGGAAGGGAGTGTGAGAGAAAAAGAAAAAAGAATGACGTGTTGTCGTCATCTTCGATGACGATTTTACAGGGTAAGCAAAGTTCTAAAAGTGACGTTTGGTCATTTGCCGTCACGCTGTGGGAAATTCTTATGCACTGCGACGAGCAACCTTTCGCCGAATTAACAAACGAACAGGTAGTGGAAAATTGTAATCATTTGTATCAAAACAACGGACTCGTTAGATATTTGCCGAGGCCTTCCCTTTGCCCGCGCGAAATATATGATCTCATGTGCGAATGTTGGAAACGTCAAGCCGCGGATAGGCCGCTTTTTAGCGAGATTCACCTTTTTCTACAGCGTAAAAATTTAGGTTACTTACCCGAAACTGGATGATCGAACGCTTCTCCCGAACCGGATACGGATACGGACGATGTGGATGACGATGATGGTGACGACGATGACGACGACGACGACCTCCATGAAATATCCTTTAATTTCTGACTTTGAAATCGCACACGTTGATAACCTAAAACAAACAAAAAAAACACAAAATTTAAAAAAAATTTTCTTTTGCTACGCACGCGTTACACGTATGTAAAGTACGCGCGTAAAAAAATTTTTAAAAAAATAAAATAGGAGGCCGTATGTGTAGGATGTGATTTACGTTTAGAAGAACTTGGATACCCACATTTTTCCCATGTGAAAATAATTCATTTAAAAATACGGGGAACTCGAATTTTCCGTTCGCCGTGAGAAGAGAAACGAACGGAAAAGGATTTTATTGGAAATGTAAAAAGACACGTTTCCGCAATTATTAATCAATTATAAACGCAAGTATTCTAAAACTAAAAAAATATAAAAAATTAATAAATAAATCACTCTGTATAAACTATTACTTATTAATAATAATATTACTGTTATTTTTATTTTTATTACTATTATTATTATCATTACAATTATTATTATTATTATCATTAATATTATTATTATTATTATCATTAATATTATTATTATTATTATTATTATCATTATCATTATTACGGTTTCCTTTCGTAATCCAATAAAAAAAATTAAAAAAAATTTATTTTATTAAAAAGAAAGAAAGAAAAAAAAAATTAATCATATTAATAATAATAATGATAATAAAACTCTAAATAAATAAATAAAAATGTTAATAATAATAATAATAATATAAGTGTAAGAGTGGGTCCAAAAATATACAAAAAAATATATAAAAAAAAAATTAAAGAAAAAAAATTAAAAAAAAGAAAAAAAATTTAAAAAAAAAAAAAAAAAAAAAGAAATAAATAAAAATAAAAATTTTTTTAAATTTTCCATTTTATAAACACACACACACAAAACACGAATGCATGTGTACAAATTGTATCTACACGCACACATACACACACACACACACACAGTGAGAGAGAGAGAAAATTATGGAGGGGGAAAGTAAAAATCGCGTGCACAATTTATTATTATATATATATATATATATATATAAGTATTTTATTTTTTTTTTTGTTCAGAGTATAAAGACTGCCGGTCTTCCTATTGTTCTTTATCTGTATATTATAACGAGTATAAAAATAAATAATAATAATAATAATATTAATTTCAAATTCTAGTTAGTATTATATAATATATATATATATATATAATAAAATGAAACGAATGTAAATAAATCGTTTATATATATATATATAAATTTCCCCCCCCCCCGGTTGTTTTTCAATTCATTATCATTATTATTATTATTATTAATGTCGTCGTCGTCATTATTATTATTATTATCATTATTTTTTTTAATATAAATTTCTATTCTTGATTGTTTGAAGGGGGGGGGGTGGGAAGGGGGAAAAAAAGAAATGGTGACGTTAGCTCAAAATTTTTTTATGATAATATTAAGATGTATGATAAGATTTTTTTATCATCATCATCATCATCATCATCATCATCATCATCATTATTATTATTATTTCGCTCGCGTGTAAATTTATATATGTGTATGTTTGTATGAATGCGTGCATGACGTAAGCAAAAAAAAAACCCTCTCCAAAAAAAAAAAAGAAAAAGAAAAAAATTTGAATATTTTTTTGACAATCTCATGGTAGTTTGCAAAAAATAATATTAATAATAATAATAATAAATTAGATATAATTAAATATATATGTGAATAATGTTTGAGTGAGCGAATGTTGGTAACTACTGTGTATCGTCTGCTGCTTCGACGCTCCCGCCAAATTTTTGAAAATTTAAAAAAAAAAAAAAACCCCCTTTTCGAATTATCAATCAACCCATTTGTATGCCTTTCATTTGGGAATGTTTAGGTTACGTACGAACGAGAAAAGAAACGAACGAATGATCGATCGATAAATCGATAAATAAATCGATCGATTAAAAATCTAAATCAATTTTTTAGCCCTCGAGTATTAATTTAATCATTAATTAATTACTCCCCTTCCTCAAAAAAAAAAAAAAATCAATCAACGAAAAGAAAAAATTTTTTAAATTCACTTTCGTAAATAAAGAAAATTTGTAAACATTGAAATTTGGCAACGTCGACAAATTCGTCTTGTTGCTTAACATTTTTTTCCCCAAAAAATTTTCCCTATACCTAAACACAAACTTTACAATTACAAAATAAGAAAAATTAATTGAAAGACATGACACGTTTTTAAGAACGTGAATGAATGACTGACTGAATGATTGACTGACTGACTAACTGAATGATTGATTGATTGATCGAACGATGTAATAATAATTAATAATTTAAAAAAAGGTATTATTTATTAATTCCTTAAAATTTTTAAAAAAAAAAAAAAAGGGGGGTTAGACGAACGAAATAATAATAATAATAATGATAATGATGGTGACGACGACGATGATGATGATGATGATGATAATGATAATATTTTCACGACTTTTATTTGTCAATATTAAAAATTTCACTAAACTATTCGTGTCTTCTTCTTGTAAATTAAAACTTAGAATTAAGAGAGTGAGCGAGTTGGTGAGCGAGTGAGAAAGAGAGAGAGAGAGAGATTGATGATTCGACGATAGAAAAAAGAAAGAGAGGGAAAGATTTGATAAACAAAGACAAAGAGGTGTTAGTTTAGTATTATTAAAAAAAAAAAAAAAAAATATTAAACTTAATTAATTGCAACGGGACAATCAGAGTGCAGATATATATATATATATATATATATATATGTATATGTATGTACATAATACAACGAGTAACGGTTTTTATTTAACGTGGAAATAGAAAAATAAAAAAACATTTGTAATGATAATAATGATAATAATAAGTTAACAATTCGTATCTAGTCGACATTTATATATATATATATATATATATGTATAACTAACTAACCATCTGCGACCACAACACACATCAATTTACGTTTTATATATGTCAACGAAATAATAAATAATAATAATAATATTAATAATAATAATGATAATTTTTTTCTCTGTTAATTTTTGAATGTAAAGTAATATTTGATGAGATTTCCCCTTTCCCTAAGCGCACGGACGCACCCACGCACGCATCCACACAAACGCACTCGCAATCATCGTTTCCACATGCAAATAAATTTTGTATCGTTTTGTTGTTGTTTTTGTTGTTGTTGTAGGCAAACAAACAAACAAACAAACATGATATTATATATATATTTTTTCGTTTGTAATTTTATCGAGTCATTTACGAGACACAAACCAACACATATCAAAACAAACAAACACCTGGAATTTTCCTTTTATTTTTTTTTTTCGTTGGTTGGAGAATTTTCGCGTGAATGTTTTACGAAAGTTAAAATAATAATAATAATACTAATAATAATAATAATAATAAATTATTAATTAATAATAAGTAAATTAAATAAATAAATAAAACTAAATTTAAAAAAAACTTTTTTTCTTTGTAATTTTTTTAAATGTTATTGGAAAAAAATCAAAATTATGAAAATAAATGAAAATTATGATGAATGAATAATGATGATGATAATAATAATAATAATAATAATGATAAAATTTTTAAAAAAAAATAAATAAAAATAAATAAATAAAAAAAATTTGAAATAAATAAATGAAATTTTTTTTTATCCGTCTTTGTTTCCTCTCCTTCCCTCCTTTCATTTCCTCCTAATTTCCTTTTCCGGTTTTTGAAATTGTGACATCCGGCGATGACGTTTAACACACACACAGATAAATTAACATCGGTAACATGAAACCAATAAAAAAAAAAAAAGAAGAAGAAGAAACTCGAAAACCTTTTCGTACCCACAAAAATCCAAGACGTAAACTTAAACAACAACAAAAAACGTAAACGAAAAAAAAAAAAAGGAAAGGAAAAGGAAAGAAGGAAGGAAAATATCAAGCGAAAAGGGGGGAAGAGAAAGAAAAAGAGAGAGAGAAAGAGAGGAAGGGGGAAAAAAAAAGAAAGAAAAATCCGGGATCCGCTCCCTCAAGTCGCAGGTGCATTAAACGTCTAAAACCACGACTTTTCATTTTTCACCTTCATTCGTTACTACTTTTTATTCGAGTCTTTTTTTTTTTTTTTTTAAACCGACTTAACAGTGCCGTATTAAGTCTTTTGTTTTTTTGTCAAGTGTTTTCCGACGGCAAAGGGATACGACAATAATAATAATAATTCATTTGTTATTTATATAATAATTTTTTTTTATAAATATGAAAAAAAGAAATGACGTCATCATTCTTTTAAAAAAAACTTTGATACCTCCGAGAGAGACAGAGAGAGAGAGAGAGAGAGGGGGGGGGCGGAAAATTTTCCGTTTCGAATGATAATTTTACCGGAAAGTGTAGAAGAGGGCATAAAGAAAATTTCGACTTTCTAACCTTTTGACCCTTCCTTCCCCTTTAGAGCTTTTTCCACCGATTCTACTACCGCGCACCGCTTCGATCACGCTTTTGCTTCTGCTGCTGCTGCTACCTATTATCCACCCCCCCCTCTTTCATACTTTCCTCCCTTCCTTCCTTTCTCCCGCATTCCTACCCTCCCCCCCTCGTTCTTTTATATACACATAATTTCTTGGAAATCTTTTCAACCGTGACTTTACCTCAAATAATTTCAATTCGTTTTTGAATAATTGAAGCACTAAAAACTCTTTTTACTTTCCCTTGACATAACCCAAATAATTAATTTTTGAGAGAGAGAGAGAGAGAGAGAGAGAGAGAGAAAGCCAAAATGAAAGTCGGCGAAAACACGATGAAATATACTACTGTGGAATATGAGAAATGATAGAATAAAGCATAATAATTCGTAAAACGACTACGTCGACGACGACGACGATGATGATGATGATGATGTTGATCTCAAAACGGAAGTCTATGACTTTTGCACTCAAAAAGACTCCAGCTCACCGAACTTT